CGGGCCATAGTGCCCAGTGGTGTAACATTGTACTGATCTCTGTTACCAACTGGTAGAGCTTCGCATTTGACAATAAACCTGCTCGATTGATTTCAATCCTTGCCTGCATCTGTCGTTTCCGGGGCCTCTCAGAGATCTCTTGTGTTGACCCAAGTGCACAGGGTCTAACACTCTAGATAAAGGGAGTACCAATTGGTACGCACGCAGCCGAAAGTTTAACAACAGAGTAGAGGTCCTGTCAGGAGCGCGCCAGGACAACCCTGACCAGACGATGCTGACACTGACAGTCCAGACCACCGAAGGTACCGAGGTACGAAAACACTGAGGTACGACAGCATGTAGTCTAGACACAGCCTTAATGTCTTCATTTCAGATTTTGCAGTCAAGGGTTTAGTCCCCTCTTCATCTCCCAAATTGTATTAACTTATATTTTTACAATATTGGTACCTATGGTTCTTTAAGACAAATGCCCGTCTCAATCCTCCAATTTGTCTCAGTCACTCTGTACCCTATTCCTACTCTCTAAGGCTACGTCTACACTGGCCCCTTTTCCGGGAGGGGCATGTAAATTTCACTAGTCGTCGTAGGGAAATCCGCGGGGGATTTAAATATCCCCCGCGGCATTTAAATAAAAATGTCCGCCGCTTTTTTCCGGCTTTTAAAAAAGCCGGAAAAGAGCGTCTAGACTGGCCCCGATCCTCCGGAAAAAGTGCCCTTTTCCGGAGGGTCTTATTCCTACTTTTAAAAGCCGGAAAAAAGCGGCGGACATTTTTATTTAAATGCCGCGGGGGATATTTAAATCCCCCGCGGATTTCCCTACGACGACTCGTGAAATTTACATGCCCCTTCCGGAAAAGGGGCCAGTGTAGACGTAGCCGACGAGTTTACAATTTGAATTAGATCATGTACCTAACAATTACACATTCATAGAATATACCAAATGCTCTATGACTGATTTGTAAATGAATGAATGAAGGTGAGTTAGCCAGGTCACAAGTGGAGTAATATAATTATTACTGTAAAATATAAGGGATTTGAATTGCACATATTGATTCAGTTTTTAAAGACAAAAGTTTCCAAAGGCTTCAGTTTGAAAAGTTTTGCCTACAAGTATGAAAACAATGATGAGGAGCTAACTACAAACCCAAATCACTGTAGTTAAAAATAGTCTCTGAAGCAGCCATATCTTAAAAGTTATCAACAACTAGGCCCAGAACCAACTAAAGACAAAAATACTAGGTCATCCAGTTCATCAATTCTTCCCTATTCTAAATTGACTAGTGTTCTGTCAGGTCTGTTTTTTTATATCATGATAATTTTAGCATATGTATAAAGTGGAGCTGGAATTTTGTAATAGAAATAACCAGAACACAGTTCCAGGAATAAATATGAGACCAAAACCCATCATTGGGATGTAGTGGCATGAAGAAATATCTCCAACTCAGCAGTTACACACTTGGGGGCAAATGGCTCTGTGAGAGCTGGGGTGCACAGGGATCCAGTTTAAAAGCAGCCCGTCCCCCCCACCTGTACTGCTGCCTCTGATAGGAACTACACCCTGCCACCCCGATACAGAGGCAGCAACCTGGGGGAGAGGGGCATGCAGCTCCCTGGTTGCTGGTGCTAGTGGGGAGCCAACTTAAAAACTGCCTTCCTTCCCGCATGCCTTCCCCCTATACAGAGGCAGCAGTGGGTGGGTGCATCCCAACCCTCTGCCCTACCCCACAGCCCCTGCACCACCCACCCACCCCCGCATCCCAACCCTCT